TTACACGCATGCATCTTTCACACAGGGGAGGCCGTCCTTAAATGACCTTAGCTGTTAATAGGACGTTAAACAAAATCAAACAAACAAACAAACAAACTTGCAGATTTGTTTATGAGTGGTTTTACTTTTACCTGCTATTTTCTTAATTTCCATCTCTCTTTGTCGAATGGATGTGAATGACATTCAATCATAATCGGAAGTTGATAGGACTTCTTTCTGGCCAAAGAATTCCGTCCCTCTTCAAATATGTCATCTTCTGACTTTCCATCAATACAATTCCCTGTGTCCTTGATTTGCTTCCTTTTTAGCCCATCTTTCCCACCAAAACAGATTTATATGTAGTTCTTCTTGCAACTTTGTTTCTTGTACTCCTTTGATAAACCTGAATGGTACTCAGCAGGTTTTAAATTGAAAAATAAAATACCAGGTGAGCTATTAAGGCCCCTGGGCCTCTAGTTCTAATGTGTTATCACTGCACTTTTTTTCTTTTTCTTTTAATAAAAAAGCTTAAGCCTCAATGTTTTAGCTAATGCTTTTTATGGGTGTTTTATTTGACCCTGTGCGGTTGACATATATTGGATTAGTATTTAGGGAAACATAGAGAACGTAAAATTGAGCACCTATAGATGTACCATAAAACAAGAGCATTCCAAGAACGCAAACCTTTACCAAGGCCATCTAGTCAATTTTTTCCCAAATCACAATTAGGATCACCACCGAAATTTAATCAATTGCTCCTTTTGCCACCCTCCAGCAAGTTTCATGAAAATCAATTCATAATTTTTTAGGTAATCCTTCTGACTAGCAAACTGACAGACAAACAAGCACTACCAAAAACATAGTTTGTTTGATAAACAGGTTTTGGTAAATTTGGCCTTTTTCTATACCTTGTACGCAGAAAGTTCAATTCCTGTTCCTTATTTTGCTTTTGGAAGTCAGATGCAGCTTTTCGAAGATTTCTGTTTCCAGCTAGCAGGCCAGTAACTGGGTTGGTACTTGAAACAAAAACACCAATGTTCTCGCTATCTCTCTGTAGGATGGTGAGGAAGAAGAATTTCTCAGTTTCCGACATCTCATCAGTCTGCGTTTTCTTTCAGGAATCTGTGAATTATCATCGTTACAGAGCAATTAATGCAAGGCGCTTCTCGTTTTATCACAGAAACAAAATGAATTACCGGGGTAACAAATTTCTGGAATATGAAACGTCAAAATATATCTAGTGTATGCTGCAGTTGCCTATTGCAGGCATTTTTTAAAGAAAATGTTAATTGATATGACGGTTAAAAATCACAGTGATAAACATCGAAATTTGATAGTCAAGCATGTGTTACCTGTTGCCATTTCTTTTAAACTATTTTCCCATGAAGCAACATCTGCATCTGTCACTGATATGTTACCATGTTCCTTAAGGTCAGCAAATTCAGCTGTAATGCGTTCAATGTTCCTTTTGACCTCTCTCACGTGTGTGAGTGACAGTGTTTGTGTGCATTTGTATGTAGTGAGTAGTTTAGTATGTAAACCATATGCTTGTAGCTCATAATAATAAGTAAGAAAAAGTTGTATTAACTGTAAATATTGTATGTATGATTTAAAAGAGCTTAATAATCCTGAAGGGCAACAGAAAGTTATCTAAAGTAAATTGCCTTGTTAAGAACAAAATAGAAACTTATATAAAAGTCAATTTTAATAACACATATTGTTGGAGAGAAAACGTCTTAAGAGATGATTTCATAACACAAGAGAACTACAAATAGTACATATTTCACCTCGGGCTACCTAAAAACTACAAAATGTTATTATAACTTAAATGACCTCAAAGCCCTGCTCAAAGTCATAAAAGAGATATGAAATCACTTTATATTACCTCCACATAAGAACTGGCCAACTTAATGGGAATTTTGGGGGGGGGGTTCCGGGGGCGACGAATCACCGAAACGGACCGAATCGGACCGAAACGGACCGAATCGGAACCGAAACGGACCGAAACTAAACCGAAACGGAGTCGAAATGGAAACCATAAGCTATTTAAAGGGACTTCTATACAGTTTAGATTGTTTTTTAACAAAACTGACCCCGATCGGAACCGCAACGGAAGTGTTAATGTGGGTTTTTTTTGGTAAATCTTTATTTGTCGTGTATATATTGTGTATATTATATAAGCCAAATACATACAATAATGGCATGTATCTATGTTATATAAATACAAGCACATGACTAGATACCCAATTATAAGAAAGGCAATTATATTGAATGGAGTGACGAGACATCACTTGTCTTGAAACGTTACGTTAAATTCCCTCTTTTATTTATTTTTTCTCCGTTGAAGTTCTTGGCTCATTTTGATTATATTTTCAATTTATTTAACGCTTAAAATATTGATAAAGTTGTCCATTTAAATGAGCCATCCATACTTATCTCAGCATAAAAAAATACTTGAGACGGTATAAACACATTGTTAAATTTTGTATAAATGGTTTTACGATCTTAAATGGATAATTATATCAACATTTTCAACATGATTGTGTTCTATTTCTGTACCGAATTTTTGGAAATGAGTTAGTCTTCTTTTCCTTCTTATTTTGTTTAGTTTTGTCTAGAGAATGTGAAGCTGTAGAACAAATTAATATATCATACTGTAAAAGGAATCGAATTGTAAAATGGAATACTTTGAAAGCATGTCACTGTTGAAAAGAAGACAACGAAATTAAATAAACTTAACGTTTTGATATATATAAACAAGCAAATAAAAAAATACATATATAAGATGTATGTTGAAAATAAAATTGTACGAGCAAATATTAAATTAGAAATATAAAGATTGCATTAGAAATATAAACACTACATTAGAAATATAAACATTACATTAGAAATAAAATCTTTACATTAGAAAAAAAAATGGACATTTTCGTAAAAAAATATGTATATCTATATTCTGAAAGCATCAGCTACACATTGCGTGCACCCAGGGCTTGGGATCGCGGACCCTGCTTTCTTAATCCCCATTTTATTTTTATTTATTTCATAAATTTCCTTATTTTTAAAATAAATACACAGATCTTCACTTGACGCACCTGACGAGGTGAGAAGCCGGAATTAAATGAAATAATCACATATTTAATAAAATGTTCAAATATTAACACACACTATCTAAGTAATACACATATCATTGTCATAGTCATTGTCTTTTCAACACGTCTTCTTCTTACGACAAATAAAGAAACAGCTCAAATTTACCAAAAAAAACACATTTACAATTTCGTTTCGGTTCCGATCGGGGTCCGTTTTGTTCACACACAATTTAAACTGTATTGAATTCCCTTTAAATAGCTTATGGTTTCCATTTCGACTCTGTTCCAGTGAAGTGCATGCTTCTTCTTCCCGTGCTAGAAGAACATAAAAGATAATATTAAATAACCAATTTTGTTTCCTCCAATGGTCATAGTCAACTGCACACAAGAACAGACACAATGCATAAATATAACTTAAACATGGTCAACATTAAGTGAGTTCTTGTTTAAATCGCATTATTCAAAGATCAATCCTTAAAATCAATAAAAGTCTAACTAATAACATATCCTCTGATGTCGCTTACTTTAGCGAGCAATTTTAACGATATTATCTGGCGACGCTTTCTTCACTTTTGCTAATAGACGTATCAACACGTAATTTCTTAAGCGGCCTCAAAGTGTTATGTCAAAGGTCATGGGGGAAAAACCGCTTATGCGCTAGCAAATACTTGCATGGCGGCCAATTAGGAGTCCTTTGATACGATTACGATTTCTTTATTTAAACGATATATCCACACTGAAAAATTATACGGACATCGAGTACGAAATCAGGTACATCTATTCTTTTCGGAAATCTTCAATGTTTGGCACTTACATCATAATAAATCAACGATCGTGCAATTTGTTGGAGGGTCGCAGATGGGTGTGTCAGTTTACATTTACATTTATAGTTATACTGCAAAGGGCTGTCGAACAGCATCAACTTGCAGGTAGACTTGTGTGGCGTGGCTTCCACATGAGTTCGTTAAAAACTGGTTAAAAAGTTAAAAATATTTACAGGATCCACATTCACTCTACGAGATGACTGGAGCGAGGTCTTGAATGCCTCAGTTCTCCCCATGCCAGTAACTGGTGTATCGGGGTATTTATCGGACAAGTCAATCAAATTGATTATTTTTCCTTTCTCCGATACATCATCTTTAAACCTGTTTCTGGTATACTTAACTTTGACCTTTTCCCGCCGATACAGGACAAATTTCAAAGCATTCTTTGCCATCATGAAAATTAACGTCAAAAACGACGATGATGTCGTTTTTCCACTTTCCGTTTGGCAAATATTAACGTTAATGTAACCACATCGTTTCTCAACGATAACAAAAGAATCGTTTATACGCCTTGTCAAACTTGTGCTAATGTAATTTCTTGTCTCAGATTGTGTCATAAATAACGTCATCAAGTTTTTTTGAGTAAAATATAAATTTTCATTGGGGCCTGTCTAGGGGTATTATTGGACAAGCAATGTTGGAAAGTCATTTTTGTACTGGTTATAACTTGGAAAACCACATGAGTGCATCTCACAATAGCTGATACATAACAAATAAAATAAAAAAGTAAACATAACAAATAAAATAAAAAAGTAAATATAAATGGGTATTTTCTGTAGATTAATCAGGGATGGACACTAACTTTTTTGCTTGGTAATCCACAGGACTAGTTGAAAAGATTATTTACTATAGTCCTTTGTCAATGTAAAGGTCTATAAGATTTCCTGATCAGGAAACATTGTGATCTACAGCATGAAACATCAAAAGAAGACTTAATATAACTACTGCCATAAAAATATGGTTAAGTTATAGGATTTTTTTTGACAATTATCATGCAATATATATTATTTAAAGCATTTTTCTAAATTTTAGAAAGTAATATTGTTATTTTATAATCATATTTTTCACAAGTCCAAAGGTCCTGTTTCTCAATATATCCCACTATTACTTTTTCATGATCATCCAAACTTTCAATGCNGCTTTGATCCCCATATTTCTGTATGCTGTGTCGATAGTCAATACAAAACCTATTACTGCCATCTTTCTTTTTGACAATTACAACTGGAGCAGAGTAAGGTGACTCGGACGGCATTATCACACCCATTTCCAACATCTTCCCAACTTCATCTTGGATTGTCGCCTTCATACTGTAGGGTATACTATGACTCGTAGCCCTGACTGGTTCATCTGTCAAAGTAGTTATGTCGTGTTCTCCCAGGTTGGTTTTCCCCGGAACATCTGTAAGGACGTCTTCAAATTCCTCTAACATTTCCTTGACATCTGTCTTCTGTTCCACACCGAGTAATTCTGATACCAGTACATCTTTAGTAGTTTCAGATCTTATTGGTCCTGGCGAGGTAACAATCGCGTCTTCGAGAATCTCTTCGTTCTCATTGCTGTCTTCCTCCTCAATGACTGCAGCACAAGTGACTGACAGAACACCTGGATCATTTCTGACGACACCGTTACCATTCCTGTCCACATATAGTCGCAATAGGTTTGCGTGGTAAGTCTTAGACTTTCCGTCGACTACAACTTTGTAGTCCATAGACCCCTTTCTCTCCTCAATTACATATGGTCCTTTCCACTGCATTAACAACTTGTTCCTCTTTGTTGGCAGAAGCACCAGCACCTTTTGCCCAGGATTCATCTTTCTGTCTTTCGCCTTCTTGTTATAGTACATTGCTTGACGAGTTCTGGCTGACTTCAATTGCTGCTGAGCCATCTTGCATGTCTCTTCCAAACGCTCTTTCAGATCAATAACATATTGATAAGTGGTCTTTGTATCAGGATCAGGAATATCCTTGGTCAATAGTTCCCTGAGAATCATCATTGGGCCTCTTACCTTTCGTCCGTATAACAACTCAAACGGAGAAAATCCAAGGCTCTCCTGCGTCACTTCACGATAAGCAAACAATAAAGCGTTGATATACTTGTCCCAATCACGAGGTCTTTCGGAACACATCCTACGAAGCATTTGCTTGAGAGTGCCATTAAATCGTTCAACAAGTCCATTGCACATCGGATGGTACGGCGTTGTAGTTAACTGACGAATAGACAACAAACGGCTGACTTCTCGCATCAAATCGGAAGTGAATTGTGAGCCCTTATCTGTCAGCACTTCTTGAGGAATTCCAACACGACTGTAGACATCAACTAAGGCCTCTGCAACACGTTCAGTTTCAATGCTCTTCAATGGAACTGCTTCAGGATATCGCGTCACATAGTCGACTATGGTGAGTATGTAACGGTTACCTCTTTCAGTTACAGGATCCAATGGTCCAACTATGTCAATGGCTACACGTTGGAACGGAGTGTCAATCAATGGCATTGATCCAATTGGCACTTTCCCAACCTTTCCCTTCGGAAATGTTCTCTGGCATGTGTCACAAGATCGGCAATATCTCGTCACATCGGTCGTCATTCCTGGCCAGAAAAATTCTGAGGTTATCCTTTCCAATGTTCTCTTCGCTCCCATATGACCGGCCATCATAGATTCATGAGCCAACTGAAGAACTGTCGGTCTGTATGCTGTAGGAACCACCAGTTGCTTGAACAACTGTCCATTTGCACAAGATGGGCTCTTGAACTCTTTAAACAACAATCCACGTGATACATAGAAACGCGATTGCCCTCCATCAGAACGATCCTTCGTGCTTCCCTTCTTCGCCAATTCCCATAGCTTCTTCAAGCTATCATCTCCTTCTTGAGCACTTTTGATATCTGTTGGCGATCCTATGTCCTTCACACTTGGCACCTTAAGTGGACGATATGGCTTTTCCTCTTTCTGCTTCAGTGCTCTGGTCTGTACCGCCAGCGCGTCCAGCACTTCGTCTCGTTTCCAGGTGTTGTCTGGGTCGTATGGCTTCCTAACTCCCTTGACATTACCAAGTATCAAATCATATACTAGGGCATCCATACACCAAGCACGAACTCTACCCTTGAAGTAAGGTGTATCAACAACTGGGTAAGCAATATGAACGATGAGTTTCTGTCCGTTGGCTAACACACATGTCTCCATTTCACTAGTAAGATCCTCGTCTCCTACCAGGCATGTCTTGACAATAGAACGCTCACAACCAGAGTCCCTCAAAACTGACACCGGATGAATACCAACAAATCCCTGCACAACAGGCATTTCCGTCGTTTCACTACATGAAGCAATTGCATACCTGTCTTCGGTCTCAGCAATCTTTGCTTTGTCAACCACCTTAGTAGTTTCGGCCTTCTTGCCTTTCTTTTCCCCTTTTGATGACACACAGTTTGCGTGATTCTTCTTGTTTGTCTTCTGTGGACATCTGAAAGAAAGATGATCAGTTTTCTGGCAAATGTAACAATGTTTCACCAACCCTGTATTACTTTGTTTGTCCCTCGATCCCGTCTCAGCTGAAGTCTTACTTGAATTACTAACCGAGTGTCCCTGAGGTTGACCACCACTGGATGATGACTTATGCCCTCCATACCTTGGCCTTGCTAAACTGAATGCATCACCTCTTGCTTCAGCGTACTGATCAGCAAGTTTGGACATCTCTCCTATAGACTTTGGAATCCTCTCCTTCAGAAACAAAGTAAGGTCGTTTCCACAAGCACGAATAAATTGATCCCGAATCATCAAATCCTTAAGACCTTCAAAGGTTTTCTCAGTTCCCGCCATCTCTAGCCATCGCTGAAAGTAACTCTCTAATCGGAAAGCAAATTGGCTAAAGGTTTCGCCTTTTTCCGGTCTTCCGTCTAGAAAACGCTTTCGGAAACCTTGCTCGGTCATCTCGAATCTCTTAAGTAGAGCACCCTTAAGTACATCGTAATCCATACTCTGGTCAAGAGGAAGTCTTGAAAATACATCTAAGGCTCTTCCTTTTAGAAGTACACTAAGGTTGGTTGCCCACTCTCTGTTCCTGTCCCAACTTTGCGTTGTCGCGTACCGCTCAAATCTTTGCAAATACGAGTCTATGTTGTCCTTACCTTCCTCAAACGAAGGAAGTTTAGGCCCCTTAGCCACATGTGATGGATGAGGAGTTACTGGTGGTGTTCCATCTCCTTGTTTGCTCTTCCTTTCTAGAAGCTGCATCTGTCGCTCATGCTCTCTTATAGCTCTGGCTTCTCTTTCCTTTTCTAAATCTGCCTGCATCTTCAACATGTTCAGCTCATGTTCCATTTCACCTTGGGCCTTTATCAAGTCTCTCTGCTTCTCCCTCTCATCACGTTCCCTGGCTTGCTCGTTGAGAATATACTCCTGAAGTTCTTTTCCTGTCAATTCTAGTTCCCCTCCACGATCCTTCAGTTCTCGAATGGAAGACATGATGAAACAATAGTGCAATATACAACTTACCACTATCCAACGACTCAAATAGCAAACGTATGATGATCTAATAATCAATATCTAAAATAAAATTCTAATTTGGAAATTTAAAGGACACTTACCTTTATAACAGCAGTATCCATGTGTACTAACACCTAGTTTAGTCTCTATAAAGCTGAAAGAAAAACGAAACAAAAAAACTCTCACAGATTCTCTCTCAGAATACACAACACAAATCCTCACACAACTACAAACAAAATCATCCCACCGCTGCCACCAAAATTGTTAACGTATGCTGAACTATAAATTCATTTGCAATTGATAACAAATATACATTTATTTACAATATACAATATCTATATAAGCATACTCTTTCGCACTCACTGATAACTCTCATACAATTCTACATTGGACATATATATTATGATTTACTTACATCTATAAATAGATAAATATATATATTATATTACACCTAAATCCCTAAATCTATAATATAATGTATAGTCTTTGTAGCTTCCCACACGAACAGATCACAAAGTTCCGTTAATGTTAAGTTCAATCCCGTCTTCTGGCAAACACAATCAGTAGCCAAACACTCTAGGAATGTCCTCCTGGTCAACTGGCAGATGACATCTATGGCTGAACTGTATCTCAGCTGTTGAAGTCACAGTTGCTGTGTCGGAGTTCAACTCCACTCAACTATTACCGGGCCTCCATACCACAGTATGTCACATCATGCTCTCGGCCTCCATAATAGAGTACTATGTCTCCATATCTAGGGAAAATATCTACACGTTCCCTCTCTGGATAATCATATCCATATGTATAAGTCAGTTCATAAAACTGCTGTCTCAGTGCCTCGTAGGTGGAAAACATGGACAATAACACCGTCGGCCATTACGGGTTTCCATACTTTTGTCCTCAGACAAAACTGACAGGTCTCTCACTGGGAAATAAGCTACAAAATATAAATAACACTAGTAACTACATAATTCTACACTATCATGTTACATATCTATAATATACGCTTTAAACATATTACTTATACAACATTCTGCAACATGCGTAAACACACCACGTCGCTCACTCATCTATGCTCAATCGTATATATTAATGACCACACTAACATTGATATATTATTACATTTGTATAATATCATTGTGACTTTGTTTATTATAAATAAATAAGCCCCAATGATCCTAATTCAATATCTAAACAACTACCACACAAACCCATTCGCTCTCACTGCGCTCCGTACAATTTCGCACCTGTTTACTATTTGGAAAATACCGTTTATTACACGATCAAACATTCACAGAATCAACAATATAACTCAGGAGATACACACAGATCTATCGATGATTAAAATATAACTTACCGTGAGCTGTATTTCACGCTAACTCCCGAATACTTCACAATAACAGAAGCAGTAATGAAACACAATGGTCACGCCATTACACCTGCCTTTCACACCTGTCCAAACAACTCTGCGCGTGCCCAGGTAAATATAAAGTTCGCGCGCTTTTCTTTACCCGCGAAATACAAATACCAATAACCTACCTTTCCTATTTAATACTCGATCATACTTACCGAATCGAATATAAAGTAACCTCAAATGTCGATATGTGACACTTGTTAACATGCTTTTAATTACATACAGGGCAGAAATGTGTTGTAGCAGGGGCATGACAGGCAGATCTGTGTTTTTCATTTTGATTTTTCAAAGGCCTTAATTGAAAAAAATCAGGCACTACAAACTTCACATAAAACAATATAAAGCTGTTAAGTACTTGCAAATAGTAGGGAGCTGTCAAATAAAATCATTTCTGTGTGTTTGCCAAACAATTACATGTGTATACAATTTGCTACATATAAAAGTCACAACCCTTTCTGCCTGTGATGGAAAGCTGCCCTTAGATTTGCCAAAAATATAGAGCCATAAATAGACTTGAAGCTTACAAGAGCAGAGCCTTGAACACTTAGCACATTTTGTAACAAGGAGACATTTTATTTCTACAACACCATCCCCACAGCACTCACAAGTGACCAACAGGTCTGGACTTGCTCCTAAATGAAAGTGATTCTGGTCAAGGAATGGACACTTAACTATAACAAGAGGCCCATGGGCCTTAACGGTCACCTGAGTGTTACAGTATTTTGTTGTAGTTGAAATATTTTGTTGTAGTTGAAATGATGTATAAGGAGAAATTACATTGGTTGTCATACAAAAAATGTATTTTATAAGTGAGAGGTCCATCAGTTCAGTATTACTACCAAGTTTGAGTAAACTAGAGTAGTGTGTAACACATGAATGTTTTTTGGCAACAGAAAATGTATCTCACTGTTTAACAAGTTATTATAAATAGCAACAGTGACCTTGACTTAGTAGATAGTTTTTGAAAATGGCAGCCATAACGTTGGATTTGTGATGGCATGTCTACTTGTTTTGTTAAATAACAGTGTTGTGTCCAGTGTCAAACAAGTTTTAGCCATCTGTTACTTTATTTCAATATTTAAGGACTACTGCCACAACTGGTAACCATGCATGACAATTTTATTAGGAATTTAACATTTCCACCATTTTGAAAATATATTTGAAAGTTAATCTCAAATTTTAATGAGCCAATGCATGTAATATTTTGAACATTGATTGATTATGTTGACAAATTGGTATTTTCAAGTTGATCAGAAATCCAAGTAACCATCACTGCAGTGATTTGTAAAACTCATTTAAAAGTTCTATAATAGGCTAGTTTCACAATCGCATAATATTAGTCATCCAATTGGAACCTAATATTGCTTAGTTTTTGAAAGTTGTATGGACAATGTTATATCACATAACTGACGGAGATATTAAAACAACACAAAAGCATAAATGGTGGGATTAGTTTTTAATAACTGTTTTCAACTTGTTTTTCAATTCATGTAAAAAGCATTATTTTGTAGTGTTTTTAATTAACACTAAGTATGAGTATGTACAGTTGAGACATGCAACACCAGGGACAAATTGAAGGTTTTAGCAAATAGACTTCGTCTCTTGGTGGATTTGTTGCTGATTTTATTGATTTGATTACAATACATATTCACTTTGTTTTTTTATTGTAAATGTGGAAATTATTGAACGCAGAAAAGAAAGGTATAGATGAGGTATAGATATATAAACAGGAAATTGGTAATACGTTCCACTGCATTTTATCATTTTAGCAGATGAGGTTAGTATTCATGGGGAAGAGTTTTGCCTTAATTTGGTGCTTGTAACAAATAAACATTTGAATATAAGTTAGGTGCCAAAGTTTTAAAGCTAACAGAAATGTTGGTAGTGTATTCAGAACATTTTATTAGCTGTATCAATGAATAAGGACATTTTTTTTATTGTCTACAAATGCATTGCAATACCGTATGTAGAGACATGTGTAACAGTATTGGCGTTTGTGCTAGTAAAAGAAAATTTATCCTTGAAAAATATCCAAAGGCGAGCAACAAAACTGGTGCGTTTTTCTGTTCATTTTATCCAGCTGGACTGCTGGAGTAAGGGGTACCCACATTGGAATACAGATGGTTGAGGATGAACATGATAGAGGTACATAAGTTGATAAAGGATATAAACAGGATGGCTTTTCCTTTGCATAGACAGGTAAACATATAAAATAGAAACCCTAGATAAGAGCAGCAATAACAAAGAAGATATTCAAGAAAAGGTTCAATACCAGGCTACAGGGTGTTGCCTTCAGCAACAGAGGTACAAATGACTGGAACAATTCTTTGAACTCTGTTAAATAAGCAGCTACACTTTGAAGCAATCAAAAAGGAACTATAGGAAAGTAGTTAAAAAAAATAACACTAATATTAAAGAAACTGAAGATAGATGAACATTTTGTTTACTATGTTATATTGTTATTCAAGACACTTGTTACAACAATCTCTGCACAACCGGAGTCACTTGTTGCAAGTAGAAACGTATATATGCAGGTACAAGTTTTATCAGGCGTTGATTGGTCTGTGTTTCACTTTTAAGCAAAATAAAAAAGGAACTATATTAAAGTAGTTAAAAAAAACACTAACACTAATATTAAACAAACTAAAGATAGATGAACATTTTGTTTACTATGTTATATTTCATACAAGACACTTGTTACAACAAAGTCTGCGCAACCGGAGTCACTTGTTGCAAGTAGAAACGTATATATGCAGTTACAAGTTTTATTAGGCGTTGATTGGTTTGTGCTACACTTTGAAGCAATCAAAAAGGAACTATAAAAAGTAGTTAAAAAAAACACTAACACTAATATTAAACAAACTAAAGATAAATGAACATTTTGTTTACTATGTTATATTCCTATACAAGGCACTCGTTACAACAAACTCTGCGCAACCGTAGTCACTTGTTGCAAGTAGAAACGTATATATATGCAGGTACAAGTTTTATTAGGCGTTGAATGGTCTCTGCTACACTTTGAAGCAATCAAAAAGGAACTATAGGAAAGTAGTTAAAAAAACTAACACTAATATTAAACAAACTAAAGATAGATGAACATTTTGGTTAAAGGTGGATACATGTACAGTGGAGCTCAGGTTATTATGATATGATGACCAGAAGAAAATATTTTAATAAGAGAGATAATATAATAAAAGGAGAAGCAATTTTAGGTTGGATGAACTGAAATACTGCATGATGGTGTAACCAACAAAAGATAAATTTATAATTAATGGAAAGAAAAGAAATTGTGTATGTTAAGTATTATAAGAATGTTTAATGATTGATAATTTGACCTAGGTGTACCGAGTTGAATTACACTAATACGAAATATTACATTAGTAGCAGGATTACATGAATTTAATACAATAACCATTTAGTAGTTGTAGTTGTTTTATGGTACAGGAACTATTGTACACCGGAGTTTATTATTCATATTAAGTGCTAAATAGTTAATATAGAGGATAATTGGTAAATATTACATTCAGTTTGAAATGATAATATCAGATATTATGTTAGGGCTCCACTGCATATGCAGGTACACGTTTATTAATTAGACTTCATCTAGTGTCAGCTACACTTTGAAGCAATGAAAATAAACAATAGATAAGTAGCTAATTATATAAATTAAAAGAATAAACAGTACTAACAAACTGAAGAAAAATGAGAAGAAGGAGGATGTATATACATGAATATGCAGGTACAAGTTTTGTTAGCGTTTGATAGGTGTCCGCTGAAGTTTGGAGTAATGAAAATAAACAATAGGAATTAATTATCAATGTTGAGATAATAAACATTTCACTGAAGTGGATGTACAATGTACATTGTATGCATATGCAGGTTCAAGTTATTAATATTCAGATGATGGAATTACTGCATAGTCTTAATGAGTTTGACCACTGCATTAGGAATTCGAATGAGGCATGGGATGTTACGAGTATTAAATAACAGATTTTACTTTAGACGTACTGATGTGGTTAATGAGATCATTGTGATTGACATGCATCAAAAATAGGAAACGTTTTGAAGACATGAATACCATGTTGGTTATGGATAAAATTGTTATAAACAATTTTTTTATAAATAGTAATGTCAACGTAATTGAAATACGAACTCATTTCAAGTGTTGTCATAATGAACCTTTGTATAAAGATTTATACAAATTTGTAAAGAAATGATGTTGCTTAAGTGGTAAGTGAAATTCATAAAAATCGCAATAAATATTATATATAGTAATATTGACGTTCACATTTGTACCATGAAATATGAACTTAATCCAGGTATTTTCAATTGTTGACCTTTACATTAGGTTTCAAGTATATTTGTTTAGAAATGAAGTTGATGACAATGGATTTGGACAAAATTTTCTATAAATAGTAAGTGATATTGACCTTTAAACCTTGAAATACGAACTCAGCCAAGGCATCTTTATAGTTGACATTTGTATCATGTTTATCAGAATTTCTTAAGACCTAAAGTTGGTACAGCTGTGCCAATGAAATGTGACGCAACAAAACGGGTTGGACATGGGTAACACCAACACTATATGACGTATCGTAATATGGTGGGGGAATAGAAATCAACATTGCTTAAGAAAGATGAAAGTATAGACGAAAGACACTTTATATATATAATTAGATTAGTGTTTTGTGAAACAAATGAAGTGGTTGACTTGTAAATTACAAGTCTAGTTTTACGAATGGGGATCAACAATGTTTACAAATAAAGGGGGATATTTTAGTTAGTGTGTATGGGGTAATTTTAATGACTTGGTATGGAGTTCATTAAGGTTGTTTTCTGCTGTGATTGAAATGCAATTTTGCAAAAAGTGATATCAAAGGAGATTGTAGATTATAACTAGTATAAAATATTCGAAAGTCTGTGGTTACTATTGACTATTGTACAAAATGTATAGTGTCAAGTACATGTATATATAAACAATACTGCTGATTAATATGGGTTGACAGAGGTGGTATTTGTATTAGTGACAACTGTTTACAACACCTGTATGTCAGAAGTAATGGTGAAAAATTTACATGAAATCTGTGTTGTTTGTAATTGAATATTCAATATTTTCTAAAAGTCATCAAATGTTGTTAGGTTAGTTGACAGCCATGAGGTTTTTCAAAGAACTATTGTGAAACTGTCAGTTCACTTGCTGTTGTTGCTGTAGGTGTTGGAAGTGTAATGCACAGTGTTTTTGTGAACAGTAGTTCTTCTAGGTCATCTGGATCGGTGATGCCAATGAAATCATTGATTCCCAAGAAGTTGGTCGCAACTATGCCAGTTATGATAAACGTAGCTGGATGAGTTTCAAGTTTGAGTTTTAGTGTTGTTGATTTTGATGCAGCATTGACCAGCTGTCGCATGCTGCAGTTCGTACACTTGTAGGTTGTTGACGTTGTAGGCAGGTCAAATTTGGTTCGGCAGTTTTTGCAGGCATATGTGGTAGTGACTGAAACACATTCTGGTTTTCCTTCTATCTGTATGCTGTTGTCACGCACTTCAACAATGTTGAGGAGTTCTTCAACATTGTTGATGGTGCTTCTTGGGGATGTTGAGAGAAACTTTTCTGCGTCATAGTCTTTAACAGCCAAATCTGTCATTGTGTAAGATGATCCTGCGGCAAGTTGGGTAGTATGATTGCCCCAAAGTGACAATCTTGTTGAATTGGTCGAGTCTGCAATGACAGCATTGCGGAGGGATATTTGGCGACCAGACTTTGTTGTTTTGGTGTCAGTTGAAGTGTCAAGCGACATGACCTTGCATCTGATACTGACCTGCAGGAAGAGAAATTATGTTAAGTACATAAACACAATGAAAATAGAGCATGGTAGCACAGTTGATAAGGTATTTGCTTTGTAAGAAGGCTGTGGATGGAGGTTTTAGGCCAAAATAACAAAAAATTAGTTTGTTTGATGTTAGCCGCTCGACCTATATAGCAAATGGTGTGACTCAATTGTTTTTATATGTATAAACCTGATTTTTGTTTATTGACGGGAGGGGGGGAATCTGGAGGAGAATTGCACAAAATGTATAAGGATTGGTGCAGAAAATAAATATATATGTGTTGGTTTTTGTATTACTTTACCAATATGTTTGATATAGGTGTTGTTTACAAAATGAATGCTGGTATTTGTAGTTCTTGGTTCAGTGTCAACATGATGACTGTTAAAATATTTAATATGAACAGACTGTAGGTATGTATGAAGTTTCATAGAATATCTTGTATACATATACACAGTTGGGACATTGACAAGGAATTGCAAAGGATTATGAAAGGTTATATTTTTCATTACAGAAAGAACACATGTAGCACAGCATTAAAAGCTACACATATTTTACTTTTTAAAAGAGTTTTTTTTTTTTACGTTTGTGATTTAGAACGACAACATGTGCAATAAAAGTTGTTGAATGTTGAAACCAGACAGTATAACGATAAGTTTCAAGTGTTGATGATGAATGTATAGAATAAGTCATTTTGTAATGATTCAAACAGCAAGTTAACTTTATGGATTAATTGTGCTTGTTGAGAGCAAACAAACAATGTGTTAAAATCTTACATAGCTTCCAACTGCTTCTTCTAATGCATCGGATATAGATTTTTCGGTGGTTTTGTTTGAAGGTGGGTTTTTTGACTGAAAGCCCAGGCTTTTAACGACATCTACAGAAGATCCTCTTGACAGCAAGTATTTGCATCCACTGGGTGAAGCAAAATCTGAAAGATGAATTTCAGAATATTATTACTACAAGCGAGTTTTGACATTTTTATATTTTTAATTCAAGTCTTCATTGAGAATGAATAGGATTGGATAGTTGTGGAAAGTCTAGAAAAGCTGACACAGACTCGGTTTACAGAGATAAAAAGTCTCTGTAAACGGGGATAAAGTGAACACATGCATAAAATAAAGAGTTAAAAAACAGCCTGTGTTATTATAACAATATATTTCACTTGTATGTAATTGTTTTTTGAAAATTAGCCTACTTTTCTGAAATGAAGCATGATATAAATATATTGTGGGTATGATATATTTGTAGATACATTTAGAACTCGCCTACTTTTTTCTCTCAGACATTTTTAGAGGATTTATGAATTATGCACATGGTAACGTAACTAAAGAATTTCAACAGATACTTCAGTTACGTTTACCATGTGTATAAAATGGCTGCATCCTATTTTTTAATATAATTTTACAAATTAACTTACTGAATGGAATTCAAGGTGCAATTAAAAAGACGCTGTTATTTGTAATTATTTTGCGACAGCAGTTTATGCACCATGTGTTCAGTTAGACGTGGTTTAGAGACTTTTTATGTCTGTAAACAGGGTCTGTTTCTGCTTTTCATTACCATGTCGGAAAGGCTAGGGAGATCCCAACTTGTGTACATCGTGAATTTATTAAGAGGTGGTCAACGCAAAATTCTGTCGCCTTGTTAGTTTTGGGTTGGTTCAAATTTCATGTACAAATACCACAAATATTTATAGTAGGTATTTCAGGTATACTTATATATATAAAATACAAGAGTGGTAATTTCAAGACGCCATGTTTATGATGATCAGAGTTCATCTTATAGAAACCTAATTAAGACATTAGACGGGGATTGATCTGGGTGAATGACTATAAACAGTATTGTAGAATATAAAGGACATGGTTGTTGTGGAAATTACACCAGGTATTACATATACATCAGAGTTAGAAACTAACGTTAGTCGTTTGGGCTTGTAAAAGTTTATGCGATAGATTACAATAGCAATTGACCATCAGATTACAAAATTGAAATATTCGTTTCAAAACACTGCTTTAAATAAAAAAAAAATGCATCTTAGATGTTAAACCATTGTATCCAATACAGTTTATTAATTTTTCCATGTCATGTTTTGGATGTAACCTTCGGGAAACCCTATATGTTTTGAATAGAACGCCAAAAAATACGTCGCCATGTTAGGCCTATAAAAGTTTATAAATTTTCCAATAATCGGTTGAAATTTAGTTCACAATCATCAGAAATCTGCCACCGTTTGACGGCGGTAAGACAACATTTTTTTGCATGTTATTTTATATTGATATTCTAGACGTGGGTATTTATGCGATACTTATCAGAATCTTTGGATGATGGCCGATTTTTTAGAATACGATATTATTAAAGACGAACCGCGGATGGTTGATTATGAATCGATTAATAAACATTTATAATAGTGTTCTGCTGCATGTGAGAATTTGCTAAATTTTGTGTAACAAAAAAGGAAATAACGTACCCAGTTTTCTGTTACATCTTTTGAGCTGTACTCCTGTTTTTCTGTCCGCTGCCTGAATAAATTGCGTTCTCTGATCAGGTGAAAACGACACAACTTCAGAGAAAGTTGTCCTATCGCTTTGTATGATACAGTTGAAATAGTGTATATTGGACTTGGCGCTTGTTTTCATGGGCGACACATTGTGGATATAACCTTTAACGTCTGTGTTGTTGTCTTCATCAGTCCGTTGTTGTTTAGCAGGTGTAGCCATTGCGATTGCTGTCAATTTTTTCTTGGCGGGAAAAATTGATGACGCGTGAGTCGACGTTCGGAACACCTTTAGGTGATACAAATCAATCTGGGTGATACTATTTGTTCCGAATGGTTGAAGAGGGGTTCGGCGTGTAGCGAGCACAGGAATGAAGATGTTTTAAAAAAAATATTTCGTATTTTTTTACATTAAAAGTACACTGTAGTCGGGATGAAACAGTTTTGCATAGAATAAAAAAATAAATATTTCGTGTGTTAGATTTTGCTGTGGTTATTTTTGTACTTAACAGTCACGATTTCGTACTGATATCGATAGAAAACTTGAAATATTACGAATGACTGTCAAAGAGTTGTACACAATCTACTGGCACTAGTACTAATAATAATATTTATTCAGGTAAAAGGCAAATAATACACTTCTATCACATTTTGCAGATTGGACATAACTATATATATTATGACAGAATGAGATTTTCTTTATAAGTTATTTATGCCATAAGACTAGAAGTCAGTCAGGTATTAAAACTGGATTGGATTAGTTTAATTTAGGCCTTTATCTGGGATGATCCATAAAGTTACATTGTGGCTCAGTTAATTCCAATGGGGTGCCTTAGATCTAAATAAATCAATTCAATTCATAAAATAGTTACATAATTATATAGTATATATAATATATTGATAATTGGTTAAGACTCTAAGACATTTGTTTTATAAAAAATAGACATAAAATGTTACATGTGCCATAGGCTATAATTAATAAAATAATGTTAGTAATGGAATGCTATAAAATATGTAGAGAGTAACAATATATTGGAATTGTAACAATCAAAGATATATAGTATTAACTTAAAATGTTACCTAGCAAAGGGCTGGTAGAGGGGAGAGGGGGGGATAATAATAGTTTGAAGAGATTGTTTACCTATTTATATAGTAACATACACTCAGACTAAGGTGTATTGGGAAAAAGTTCTGATTCGGTGTTGGTCATATCAACTCAGTGCACCTTTAGGAATTGTGTCCCTTACAGAGCCAAAAATAGTGTATTCTGCTAATGGAGACAAAAACACTAGCAATTTAAAAGTGTATTTTAAAAAAATATCTGGAAAGAAATATATAGAACAGATTAACATTACAGTAAAAGGGCCAGACATTATTTTATTTTTTATTCATATTTGTTTTTGAGATAGTGTTTAAAACACTAAATATTGTATCCAAATTTTAGCAAGTGCAATGTTTTATGTTTAATTTGATAAGATAGTACAGTGTACTGTAATAGTTAGGATTTTTTTTTTTTAATTTTTATCAAATTGTGTTTATAATAGTTAATATTGTATGCAAATTCTAGTAAGTGCATTTTTTTATTTTTTTCCCAACGCGACCACAGTTAAATACACTGACCAAAATATAATAACATATATTGTTATGTAGACCTATATATTGCAGAATGTCATTTTAAAATGGAGTTTAGGGTGGCTGTTTGGATTTCGGATCGTTACATAAGAAAAAAAAATATAGTTGAGATAAGGTGCAGGTCGTATGCAAATTAAGAACAATTACCAAAGAGGCAAATCCATTTGCGAGTGATCTTTGCAGGTGTTGTGGTGGTTCTTGTTTGGAAAGTGTTATTGGTACAATGTCAAAATTTTACATAGAAGTCACAATTGCAATGATTTAATGTACATAGTTTTATTTACACTTGATTAACTACAAGATACAAGGTAAAATATACAAGATATATATTGACCAAATTAGGACCTACATTGGGCATAACAAACAACATTTATGATTTGCAAAATATTACAAAAGATGTGATAAGACCTGTGTAGTATGACAGTGCCTAGGTAATTTCGATAGTATTATATAACATGATATGATCAATTATCAGTGCAGTTAAGCAAAATCAATGTCACTAGTATGTCTCCATTAGAATGTGTGAGAAAAGTGATAAGATTTTCGAATGGAAAGTACACATAAGAAACGTTCTTAACAAATTGACATACACGTACTTGAAATATACATTATGAACGATGAACATTGAGATTAAGTAAAGGGTATGAAAATACATGTAGACATTTAATTACAATTATAATATTGTTTTAGCAAATGTGGAGGCAGCATAGAAGTGACTACAAATGTTGATATTAGTTTTAAAAGTTACAATGTATGTTTGATCATGTATCAATGCTGTCTTTGCAACACAGTATTTGTTGTTGATGCAATAATAGTCCAAGTAAGGCAGTTTCGTTGCCTACTATTTTTTGTTGTTTTCTTTAAGAAACATCATGGGTGATGCATAGAGTCATGAAAGAGAGTGAGTTTACAAGCAATTTAATGCCGTTCCAGTGACCCCTCTTTCGTATACTTACCACATGTTCACTGTTTCAGCAAATTATGTTTATAGTAGCATTTAATGACAGACAATGATGCATTTCTTGGTCTGGCAATGAGTAGCGAAATATCTGTACAGATCAGATATATTACTGAAATAAAAAATGTCATGAAGGCTAATTTAACAACTGTTTAAATGGTTGATATTAATGCACATGTAATTAACTTGGTGAAAGAATCACTGTTCAGCAATGTTGAACATAAAAGAAAAATAGAAATAATTTGTACATGACGAAAAAAGTAATTATGCAAGGGATATGAAATGAAATTATTAGGAGTTGATTTAATATTGAACAGTATATGAATGTAAAAGAATTAATATATTAATACAATTTCATCATGTCATAACGTTTCTTAACGTCTTCGTGTTCCACCAGTAGTGTAAATGTTTATATCACATGATATCATGCCATAAAGTTGCTCAATGTTTTGCTCTTCCAGCAGTAGTGTGAATGTTCATATCACATGACATAATTTTATTGAGTTTTTCAATGTCTTTCTATTCCACCAGTAGTGTGAATGTGTATATCACATGACATCATATAGCATAACGTTTCTCAATGTTTTTATGTTCCAGCAGTAGTATGAAGGTTTGATATCTCATGACATCATACCATAACGTTTCTCAATGTTCTTATGTTCCAGCAGTAGTATGAAGGTTTGATATCTCATGACATCATACCATAACGTTTCTCAATGTTCTTATGTTCCAGCAGTAGGGTGAAGGTTTGATATCACATGAGATCATATAACATAACGTTTCTAAATGTCTTTATGTTCCAGCAGTAGTATGAAGGTTTGATATCACATGACATCATACCATAACGTTTCTCAATGTCTTTGTGTTCCAGCAGTAGTGTGGATGTTTATATCACATGATATCACTTCATTGAGTTTCTCAATGTCTTCCTGTCCCACCAGTAGTGTGGATGTTGATATCACATGACATCATGCCTTAAAGTTTCTCAATGTCTTGCTGTTCCACCAGTAGTGTGAATGTTGATATCACATGACATTACTTCATTGAGTTTCTCAATGTCTTCCTGTTCCACCAGTAGTGTG